AGGCTTTTTTGGAACCCTTCGCAGGCTGTAGCTTTACCAGCTCCTCAGACTTCGTGCCAGTAGTGGCCTGCAGAGTTTCGAAGCAGCAATTTAAGGTCATCGGGTCCGGCTTGGTGCGCAACGGCTTCACCAAGAGCTCCGTGGATGGCGTTGAGATGAACATCGGCTCCTGCAAGCTCAGTTGCCTCGGGGCCATGTCCACGGCCGAGAGAGGCGCCGACATAGCTGCACGTTTAGGGTTCTGGCAGAGGGTTTAGCGCTTCATGCTTTCGGCTTGCACTGTCCGGATTTAGGCTTGAGCCTAAACGGATTACAGTGATTACAGGGTTTAGCGACCGTCTGCTACCGTTCTAAGTAGACACGAAACAGCTGTTGCAATGATCCTGAACGTGATCGTCAAAATAGATTATAAAATACAACACCAGCTTCAGGGACGCAATCAAGCATGAGCGTATGTCCCCGCCCCCTCCGCCAACCTTGTTGGAAAGCAGAAGCCCGTGAAGCAAACGAACGAAAGAACCAAGGACACATCCGGCACAGGGCTTTGGTAGAGGCCGTGGCGGCATGAGAACACCACTCTTGGGCGTCTCGTATTGCCACTGCGACTGCTACCAGAAGTAGGTTATACACTGTAAACATGGTAGCGCTGTAGTATGCAGGAACATAGTAGCAGAACAGCCATGAACTGAGGAATAAGGATCTTCGTGCCGTCACCGTGTCGTCATTGACAACCTTGCCAGGGACTCAACTTCCATGCTGTCGCTGAACAAACGAACGAGAAACAATTCTAAAACAATTCTGGAAATAACAACGAAGAAACTCTGAAAGATAACCAGAAATCACGGAGGCAATGATGAACACACGGGCAAACTACACGCCTCAGGATCCCTTGTTTGCTGAAGCTCGCAGTAGTGTATTTGATTTCCAGTATGTAAACTTCTCCGCGCTAGACCTAGGCCACTTCAAATCCGGGGGGCTTACTTTGGATCCTAGGCCTAGAAACTGCCGAAGCCCTCAATGTGCAAGAAGCTCTAAGGCCTCAGGGCATAAGCCTAAGCCCTCAACGCCTGAATCCGAAAGAAGCTTGTTTGAGTTCCATTCTATACGATGCAAGCCCGAACTGCTGAACATGCTCCTCAATTCCGGCTGCAGCCGAGCTTCCGTAAGACGTGCCAGGCCTCCTGTGGGCTGACAAAGCATCACGTTGCAATTGCCTGAGTTTGGAGTCGACTTAGGGTTAAGGCCTTATCTGTGTTCTGAGATTCTAGGAGCTCAGCGCTACTTGTCTTTGTGTGTGCATGGGTTCTTTCCTGTCTGTCTGTGATGGCCAATCCTGTGGCGATCAAGGGCCTCACTGGGAACGCTGCTGCCTCAACATCAGGATTTGCAAGTAAGTGGCCAATTTCGCTCAAACATGCCAGCGCAGATCCCCAACAAACCGTGAAAGAGGACTACGACGAACACACGAAGACCAGGAACATCCAGGAGAGGAGACCTCCAGCAGGGCACGACCAAAACACGAGGGCGGCCTGAATGCCTTCACCCAACTGATGAATTTCAGGAGCATGATCGACATGGGTTCCGACTGGCCGGATGAGCCTGGTTCGAGGCTTTTTGATGCAAAAAGTGGTGCGGCATACATTACATGTTTAAGCTGAGCCCGCATCTTCGGAAGACGTTAGCACAACGTATCCTCAAACGAGTACGGAGCACAAATATGCACCGCCATAACGAGAGCCGTGGGAACGCCTTTCTGCCCGGCCCGAAATCTCCACTTAACGTAGCAACGCAGATTTGAATAACCCTCGCGGCGACCAGCGAACTGCTGAGCCATCGAATCCACGAGCGCGAGGCCGAAAATCCCTGGAGACAGCTTCCTACTAAAGCCCCAGTACCCGAATGCCACAGTAAGGTCCTTAAAAGCCAATTCCTGCCTGACCCTCAAAACGGGTTGACAGACTGGTGTGAGCTGGTGATCCAGCCATATATGCCCACCCTTTTCGGCCACAACAACGGACCGCAGATCGCACTCCAAGCTGCGCTGCCGTTGTGTCGTGGCATCACGTGGAGTGCTCGCGCTTAGACGTAGCAACTGAAACTTCTCACCCTAAGGCTTTGTCGGGGCACACGAAGATCGAAGATGCAGGATCCCAAGATCCCAAGCGAAAGCTTCACGGGAATACCCTGAAAGCCCCGAAATCCACCGAGGGTCCACAGAGGACCACCGTCTGAGCATGGCTGAAGACCTCAGCCGAGCTGACGGTTAGGTACGTGGTTTCGAGTCGTTCCCCAAGCGCCACCACATCACGTAACTCTGCCTCTTCTTAGTTTCCTGTCCGTCTTTGAACTTGCGGGCTGTTGTGTTCCAAATGTTGCCGTGTGTTCTGCTATGATCTGACGCCTTGTGGAGATGCAATTACACTCTTACGAGCATATAAGCACCTTAAGCTTTTTCACACGAAAACTAATGATAAGAACAACTCCACGTTTGCTGTCTTGCTTTTCGATAGTCTCAACTGGGTGCTCGGGATGACATCGTGGGCAAGGGGCTTCCACGCCGGGTTCTGGTGAGAGGACCGAGCCCGCAGGATGTGTAACTCTAGTTTGGGTTCAGGGTTGAAGGTCATAAATCAGTGTTCAAGCTGCCGTGACTGGCCTCCCAGGTTGTAGTTTCATTCACAGGTGCAAGCTCGGACACGTCATGCTATCATGCAACATTTACAGCGGCCATGTTCAGGCTGGCTTCGCAGCGTCCACAACACAGAGGTGGGTCAGTTCTTGCGAGCTTTGGGTTCTTCTCCGCTGACCAGAAAATACGACTCTGACTCTCCCATCTGTTACAATGCTAGACTCCTGGAACCACTCAAACCTCTGTGTTCAGACTCGCTCCAGCCTCCCAATTTGTTTAAGCGCAGGGTGGCTGCGCTTGTGACATAGATGATAGCTAACCCATCAGCATGGCTCAATATAGTCTCCAAGGAAAAGGAGAGGTATAGAACGAACAGAACGACAAACAAGTGACAGCCGTACAAGTGCCTTTCAAGCACCGCCAGTGATTTGCCCAGCCTCACATTAAGCGTTTACAGCACCGGCCAGAAGTCAAGCAGCCAGGCGGCAGTCGTGATTTGGAGGCAGCCAGGGCATTTCACGTCCATGAAGAAGCTGTTCCTCAGCTAGAAATGCAGTATCCCAATGCATTGTCATTTCACCACGGCTGCTTGCACGAACTCGGTGTTGTGTAGGATTGCCGCCTCGGGGGTCGAGGGGTTCCTGGATTTCGAAATTCAGGAGCTTGTGGAACTCTTGTGCGGCTTTGTAAGCTCTGAGGTTTGTGGTTTCCAGGCTTATGCTTTGGAAGTGTAGTGGCAGGTCATTCTTGCAAGTTTGTTTGTAAGCTAGCGCCGGGGTCTGCTTGACTGATGCGGCCGTACCGTCAAGCGGGTTTCCAGAAGCTACGCCGATACTTCTGAGGAGGATGTATGTATGTATCCGTGCTTCTTTCTATCTAGCGACATCTCGCTGTGATCTACCTATCTATCTATCTGCCTGTCTGTCTGTCGATCCATCCACGATCTCGCAATCTCTCTGTCTACCCATCCCTCTATCCATCTACCTGTCCACATATCCAAGATTTATCTATCAACAGTTGAGCATGTATTTCTTTATTTCGTCCATTAGTTAGGATTTTTCTTCGCTTAATTTATTTATTTATTTGTTCGCTGCTGTAGTTCTTTAATATATATATATATACACGTTTTCCTTTTTGTGCTGGTTCATTTGTTTCTGCCGTTGATTATTACCTCAAATGTATTGTCTTTTTGTCTGTCTTTTGTTGTGTCGTTTTCTCTTCGCTTCGATCTAAGCACACAGACAAACAAACAGACATACAGGTACACACATATATATATATACACACACACATATACGTACACGCTGTGTACCCCTCCGTCCATCCGTCTATCCGTCCATCCGTCCATCCATCCATCCATCCATCCATCCATCCATCCGTCAATCCATCCATGCATATACGACACATACATTACATACATACGGATGGGCTCATGAATGAACGAGATAGTGAAGTAACCAACTAAACCATAGATCGCTAGGTGATAGATAGATCGATAGAGTTAGACGGATACATAGATAGATAGATCGATAGAGTTAGATAGATAGATAGATAGATAGATGGAGACAATTATCTTGTGGGCAGGACGGAAGAAACCCTGTCTCAGGTTCATGTCCAGTCTCGGGGACTGAATCATTCGCTTGAGCTTGTGCTTGGACTTCTCCTGTGAACAAGACCGACGAAAGCCCTACATCCGTGCACCGGACGACCTGCACTCCATCCGAGGCAAAAGAACAAGGATTGCTGGATTGCTGTACTCGTGTACCTGTCAGGGAAACAAAACGTTATGACTTTTCCTCTGGTGCACCGCCGTCACTGTGTTATGCTCAGCCTTGCGCTCAAAACCTGGCTCGGGTCTTCCATTGGCTTGAATATCTGCGGGCAGGGGGGGGGGAAAATCAATCAATTCACCGGCAAACGGCTCATGCACGGAGCTTTGCCGGTCTGTGATAAATGCACTCAGCGAAATCAAACAAGTTGAAACTCTCATTTAATGTTGGTCGCCAGCTGTGCCCCAAATAGGGCCTCAACAGTCTCGGATGGGACTCCCATGGGACAAACCTCCCAGAGTGCGGGAGAGAATCCTACTGCTCACAGCGCCCAGAAAACGCATCCAACTTGCAAAAGCGATCGTGCCAACGCTCCCACCACCGAGCTATTTCCCCCCTCAAGAAAGAATTCGGAACACCACCCACTGTATGGAC